TAATATTGAAAATAAATATATAAAATTCCATAAATTTTAATAAAAACGCATATAAATAGTTTTACACCTCATATATCACTTTCATTTTGTTGTTTGTTTATATTTCGCATTTTTTAATAATTTAAAAAAAAAATATGAATACCTTTTCATAATAAAACTAACGAAAAAGCGAAAAGATTTAGAAGGCTACCTAAAGTTATATCTTAAAGCTTATGTATTTATATGTATAAGTATAGACGGTAATTATGATAAATTTATGTTAATTAGTGTATAAAAATATATTAAATCTTTCACTTTTAACTAACGAAGAAATTTTCGCAAATAAATATTTTAATTCAACCAAAAAAAAAAAAAAATAGTGGCCATAGGTTCGCAGCTTTCTAATCGATTTATATGGGATCGTTTCAAACGATTAAACGACCAAATTTGTAAATAAAATCTTTAGGTTACGTAATATAAAGAAATTAAAATTGATGAGATCATTTTAATAAAGCAAAATCAAAATCTAGGGCACAAGAAATTTAATAGAAATTAAAAAGATATCGGTAATTTCAGTAGTTGTGGAAATGGGATTCGTTGCTACATTTAGATAGAGTAAAAATCAAATAAAAAATACAGTGTAGAGAAAATTTAAACATAATTTTTTTTATTTAACATATTTTTTTAATCTTTAATAATTTTTATTGCCAAAATATTTATTTCATATTGTATGATTGATTTCTTCAGACTTACTGAAATAGTATACATATATATCATATATATTAACAATAATCTGGTAATTATTATTTATTAAAATTTTTAAAGATTGTACAGTTTTGGCCGATATAACTTACTTTTCAAGATAACGAAGTTCAAAATTGAACATTTTAAGCATTGATTATATTAACAAAAAAAACTATATACGCCATCTGGTGCTCATCAGTATAAGCAATGTTTACATTAATTAGACTAGTAACTGGTAACAAGTAAAAGCACGGCTACTAGTTAGTCGTTCCTTGCAAAAATTTTTAAGTTTAACATGTAGTGTCTTGACTATAATCCATTGCCAAATACCGTTTTCGGATATTACTATTATTATGTTATTACGATCAATTTACAATAAGTTTTTTTGATTTTCACCGGGTTTAGGTCGTTCTATATGTTATTATTTCTTTAACATATAAAAAAAAGTATACTCTTTAATTTGAGTTAAATATTTTTAATTATATTTTTTTAAAACATTTTAATATACCTTCGAATAGTTTAAATCTTCGAATATTCTTATTTTGCAGATGATATAAATACATACCTATTTATAACGACATTTCAGTCCTAGTCAAATTTGAGAGTTTTAAACAATCTTCAAATAAAAAAATAAATAAAAATAAACTAATTATATCAGGTGGTCCATTTTAGTAACAAAACAAAATTTAACACTGATAGACTGTAACAAAATCGATGGAGAGTTTTAAGTATCCTATTTCTATTATCTATTATGTCTGAAATTGGTAACCCAGCAACGCTTATACGACTATGTAAAATGACGTTATCACAAACTCCGTTAGAATCAAAAAAAAACCTGTCCGAACCGTTTGATACCAAACGAGTCACCTTTTAGACAATGTGACTCCTTGTTGTGTGACTACTTTAATCTACTGTTGGAAACGATAATTCAAATAACAAATTTAAACCGCACTGGCACAATTTTCTACAAAAGTCTAATGCTATTTGCGTGTGCCGAGGATATTAAGAACATTGGCCTAAACACCCACACCGTCTGTGCGGCATGTTCCAACTTAGAAAATCAAGCGAAGCAAATAGGTCTTGTGGCAAATGAGGACAAAACAAAGTACTTTCTGTCGACAAACAAATCTGCTGAGCATCTTGGGATCCACATCACTGTTGACAATTATAAGTTCGAAGTTTTGAAAGACTTTTTTATTTGTTTTTTTTTTCATTATTTATATTATTAAACACTCTTGCCCACAGATGTTATTTCGGACTAATTAAGTACGTAGTAAGTAGAAAAATAAAGCCCTCTCCCGACAAACAAAAATCACGCTCTACAAGGCTCTTATCATGCCTGTATAGTGCAGAAATTTGTCAATTACCAACAATGACGAGAAAATGTTAGGAACATTCGAGAAAAGAATTCTTTGGAAGATCGGAATATGGAATGTAGATTATCTGAAATTTAGCAAATCAATTTGAAATTATAGAAATTTATATTATTATATCTTGGATATTGGCTATTCAAGTGTAACTTAAAATTCAAATAAATATCATATTGACATTCAAGTGATATCACTATCACTTCAAATTGACACTTAAGTTTGCACTGTAAAATTGTCTCTTAGTATACAGCTTAGTTAAGAGTAAAAAAAAGAGGAATTACTTCTTATTACATGGAATGTTGTATACTTATTCCTTATGGGCAGATATTTTGTGAAACAAATTGGAAATTTAAACTCAGTAATATTTATATTCAATTTAGTTTCATTAAATCCGTTTCAAAAAATTTTAAATGATAATTAATTTGGTTGACGCGATTTCTACGCTATGGACTAAGAGTAAGTCTACAATTTATGACGAAATATAAAAACTATTAAAACTCTGATTGCACAACTTTATATTGTACAACATTGTCTGACTC